TTCTACTGAAGGCTCCCCGAAAGTTGCCTCCCGTCCCAGCTGGGTCCCCACCAGTCATCACCACCACGGGGCCCCAAGCTTCCTCTCTTCCTCTTGCCACCAGTGTCTCAACTTCCATTCTCCTTTGTGGAGTCTTGCCTGGAGCAATGGGGCTACTCTCCTGCTTTTTAAAAGAATGGGGCAGGCCAAGAGCCCCCACTTTCCCCTTCTCGGCTGGGTTTCTCCAGAGTGAAGCCCCACAGGGGCGCCCAGCTCTGCCCTCCTGTCCTGTAAGACCCAGAGACCAAGCGGTCTCTGGAGCCGGGGAAGGGGCCCTCCTTTCATCCCTGTCATGCCCACAGGGACAGGGACCTCAGTGGCTATGCCTCACGTCCCCAAGTCCTACAGGCAGGTCTGTCTTAAGTCTCAGGGCAGCCATGTGGACTGTCCCCATTGCATTTGTGGGTAGAGAGGTCACAGGCTGGGGCATCCAGCTGATCGTTGTCTCCCTGATGCCAGCGTCGTCAGAGTAGAGATCCTCCCCACCAGCCTTCCCAAAACAGCCCAGAGCTTTGTGCTGTTTCCTGCCCGAATCCAAAGCACCACACTCCAGCATCGTTTCCTCCGCATGGCGTTGATTTGGGCCTTCAAGGGGGTGGAAACCCAAAGCTCCAAGGAAGCCTGACACTAAGCTCAGGCCTGCTCTCCAAGGTACGGTGTCCATGGATACTGGGCAGGGAAGGTGGGTGCTGCTGGTAGGCCCCATCTGTGCTGGCTAGAGGTCCCAAGCCCTAAAGAGTGCCAGATGTCTCCTGCTGTGACCACAAGTGCCAGGTCACTGGGGTCTTATAAGGCAAGGGCTTGGAGGAGGTGGGCCCCATAAGACGCAGTCCTTCAGTGTTGGCTTCAAGATGGTCCAAGCGGTGGGAGCTGCCAAAGGGCAATGTTCGCTGAGACTCAAGGTCACTGTGTTATGGCAAGGGCAAACCCATTAGTTCAGCCTCCTACACAGAGAACACCCTGGAGAGAAATGCATTCTTTCTCAGAACTCACACCTGGCCTTGACCTGGAACTGACGTGTTTCTAGTGGCTCTCTGACCACTGCCTTTGGAGAACCTCAGGGAAGCAAGCCATACCTTTCCCTCTATGGCATCTGGAGTCCTCAGGTGTGACTCCTGTGGCCTTTGTGTGGCCTGTGACCATCCTGTCCTGGCCTATGCAGAGGTCACCACATCCACTCACTGTTTATACCGTCTGTCACTGAGACTGAATCTGGCTCTCTCCACCTGGCAATGGCTCCACCTGTTTCATGGTTCTGGAGCATTCCAAAGATCTGCTTTGCTTTTTCTGACACCACAGCCAGCCAGGCTTTGGTATCACTATTTCACAAAGAGTGGGGACTGCAGGTAATACTTGTACAAGCCAGGACTGGAACCCAGGTCTAAGGGACGGGTAGGGACCCTTGCTATCAATGAGGAGGCTATTCTCACACAGCCATTGTTGCTAGTACTGACAACATGACATTTTCATGTAGAAAGTTCAATGTGTTTTTATGTCTATTGTGTCACTTTAACTCAAAGAAGTTACAGGAAAACATTGATGAATTGGTTGTATAATATATATGTGTGTGTGTATATTATGACATAGTGTATACACTTTATAACACAGTGTATATTACAGGCTACTTTGGCTTTTCTGGCTTTCTCAGAGTCACATACCTTGCAGGAGGCCTAACCTACCCTAAGGACTTCATGGAGCAAGAAGGAAAGTGACAAGAGAGGTGGGCCTGGCGCTCCCATCGTTGGAGAGAAGAGGGGCCCAGGCTCTGAGGCAGGGACCGCTCCTCCTGTCCAGTATCCCAAGTACTTCAGGACACCAATGCCAGTACTACCCCTTGGCAGGGCACCTCTTGTTGCTCAAGGCCATGGAGCTGGTGCTGGCTCCAGCAAATCAGCAGGTGGTTGGCTGGAACTGGTTGATTCTGCCAGCCAGGAGCTTAGGGTTGACAGCGATGAATCACACTAATGGCAAGAGGTGGCCATTCCCTCCTCTTTATGGCCTGGAGACAGGTATTTTCAAAGCTCCTCCCCTGGCTTGGGCAAACACACCTGACCTTCCTTGCTCTCCCTGGGCCTCAGGGGGAGGGGGCACAGAGCAGCTAGGGACAAGGTGAGCACCAGACTGAGCTGGAGAGTTCTCCTCACAGGCCAGTCTGCTGTCCTGTGGAGGGCAGAGCCCTGCCTCCCAGAAGTGGAGGGGGCAGAGCCCCTTGACCTTGGGGCGTACTTCAGCCTGGCACCCTCTTCCCACCTCTGTTGCTAGCATTAAGTTTTGCTCTCTGCCTCTGCCCCTCTTCCAAGAATAGTCTGGCCAGTTCCAACCTACATCCTGCAAGGAAAATAAACAAAAAACACCAGAGAGGCTGAGGGCCATAGTGTTTGGTGATCCAGTGGCAGGGTTATCGACCTTAAGAATGAGCATGGGATGGGGGTGGGGTAGGGGGTGAAAAATAGGGATGGGATGGGGGTGGGGAGTGGGATGGGATGGGGGTGGGGAGTGGATGGGGGATGGGGAGTGGGATGGGGAGATGGTGGGGGAGTGGGAGAGTGGGAGGGAAAGGGAACTGGGATTGGTATACAGAATAAGATTGTTTTAAATTTTTTTTAAAAAAGAGGAAAGCAGGGGAAAAAAGGAATGAGTAGCATCAACTTTTAAAGAGGCTTGAACATCTTTGGGGTCAAATTCATACGAGATGGAGAGGTTCTAAAGATCAAATTTGGAGGATCCTCAAGGTCACCGAGAACAAGGGACTCACTGACCCTTTATAATGTCGCTGTAGCTTTCCCATCCAACCAAGTAAAGTTACCACTTTAAACCAAACCAATAGGGACCTGGGGAGATATAGCTCAGTCAGCCACAAGCTCACACAGCAAGCACGAAATCCTGAGTGCAAGCAACAGTACCACTGAAAAACAGCTGTGACCACGCACATCTGTAACCCCAAGTCAGGAGGTGGAGGCAGGAAGACCAGAAGTTAATGTCATCCCTAGCTACACATTTTGCTTTTGAGTTTGAGGCCAGCGTGGGCTATTTGAGACCCTGTCTCAAAGGAAAAAGAGAAAACAACCCCGAGCAGAAAGGAGCATTAGGTGTCAGAGGCTGGGTGCCTGCACAGCCCCACCCTCGTGAACTGCCGTGCTGCTGGGAGCGTGAGAGGGTGGGTCTATGTGAAGCCCCACGCCCTGCATCTGGCGAGAGCTTGTTACTGGACGAATTTGATGGTCAAGATTTCCATCTCTGTGGGTCTGGTCTCCAGACCACTGTCCTGACATAGGAGTCTTTTGAGGGCACAACCTGGGTGTGGTCTGGACCAACATTGGGGGTTTTATAAAGAATCAGTAAAACAAGACTGTCCTGCTACAGGATAAAGCCAGGTTACCAGGTGTCTTAGCTAGGCATGATTTTCTGTCCTCCCTTTCTTTTCTTTCTCTCTTTCCTTCTTTCTTTCTTCTTTTTCTTTTCTTGTTTTGGTTTTTTGAGACAGGGTTTCTCTGTGTAGCCTTTACTGTTCTGGATCTCACTCTGTAGACCAGGCTGGCCTTGAACTCACAGAGATCTGCCTGTCTCTGCCTCGTTGAGCACTAGGATTAAAGGCGTGCACCTTTACTGCCAGGTTTAGTTAGGGTTTCTATTGCTTAAACAAAACACCATGACCAAAAAGCAAGTTGGGGGTGAAAGGATTTATTTGGCTTATACTTCCAGATCACACTCCATCATTGGAGGAAGTCCAGACAGAAACTTAAACAGGGCTAGAACCTGGAGGCAGGAGCTGATGCAAAGGTCATGGAGGACTGCTGCTTACTGGGTTGCTTCCCATGGCTTGCTCAGCCTGATTTCTCATAGAACCCTGGACCACCTGCCCAGGATGGCTGGGCCCTCCCCCATTGATCACTAGTTGAGAAAATTCCTTATAGCCTCCTCTCATGGAGGCATTTCCTCAAGTAGAGGCGCCTTCCTCTCTGATGATTCTAGCTTGGGTCAAGTTGACACAAAACTAACCAGAACAGCAAGCAAACTAAGCGAGTGCTTTTAGTAAAATAACAGTTACTTCCTTTTATTGATGTAATGAAGGAAGGTTGGAACCTCTCATTGGACTTCTTCAGAGTTTAATGCTTTGGTTTCAGTAATGCCTGCACAATCCCACAATCCTTTGTGTGTCTAGGGCCTGTCAGAGTCTCAGCCACCTGCAAGGACGTGAACTCGTGATGTGCTGTGAACGGAGTACATATGGCCAGAGATGTCTAACCCTGCATCACTGGATTAACAGTGTTAAACTTGACCCCTGATGAAAGATTTCATCTTTCCAGAGTCCCAAGGGGCAAAACACACTACGAGCAGGTGTGGGAAATGCACCAAGCAGGCCTTGCGATCCTTAGCAAGAGGGCAAGCCATCAGCTCCCTGCCTTGTGCAGCCCTGTGGCAGGAAGCAACTCAGAACCCTCACAGGGCCTGCGGGGATTCTCCTGCGACCCTAAGGTGTTCTGCGAAGTCTCAGGTTAGAGCAAGGCTTATTCCTCGACCCAAAACACACGAAAGGCTGGAGACAGGGCTGCACACAGGGGCATATCTACCACCGCCAAATGGAATCTGCCTGCAGCTGTGTTTGTTTGGCCAACGGTACTTAAAAAAATCACCAAACTCAATCGGAAAGTCATTGGGAGGCTTGCAAGTTCCTTTCTACATTTCTGTCACTATGTCACTAAGCTTCTGTGGCTGCTGTCTACTCTAACTTGCCCTGCTGTGAGAAGAACCTGAGACCAGGGACCTGAGAAAGCGATCAGGAGAGATGGGGTTCACAGTTAGGCTCTATGGAACCCTTCGTGAAAGAGGCCCAAACTGCCCAGAATCCCACCCCCCAGAATCCTTCAGTTGTGACCTCCTCCCTCTGACTGGGGACAGGCTCTCTTGTCCTTCAAGTTCCCCAAACGCTCAGACTCAGAGGAAGGAAAGCCACTCAGAGCCACTAGGAAACAAGGTTTTATTTACTTATTTTTCCATTGTCAGAGGATAGATCACAAGACAGAGATCAGCAGTCCGGGTACACAGTGTGGCTTGGTTAGTTTCCAAGGGAACACAATGGACAGGTGAGGCGGGTTCTGGTTTGACTTTCCACTCTGACGCCCTTTGACTTCTGGCCTTTGCTGCGCACCCGGGCTGTACCTACCCTGTTGGCCTCTGACCCCTAGCCCTGCTGCTCCTGCACCCTTGTACCTCGCTCCACTCTGACCCCTGGCAGGCAGAGAAAGGAAACCGCAGTGGCGACCAGACCTCACCACAAGGCAGAGAGGCAGAGCCACCTCCAGACCCTCCGCTGCCCATCCCCTCAGCCACCCCTGCCAGGGGCCTGCTGAGGAGAAGGAAGGAATCCTCGGGTCAGATGATGGGGCTAGAAACTAAAGTCTAGAAGCAGGGAAGGTGGGCAAAGGCAGGAGGATTCCAGAATCTACGGAGTTATTGCGTGAGGAGCACATTCCCCGGAAGCAAGAAGGACCTGGAATTCCTGGGTGTTCCCCAAAGGGTGGGACAGGTTGGGACTCTGCAGTGGGCACCCTAAAAGGAAAAGGACCCCAGGAGGCCTGCAGGAATCTTCAGCCGCTGATCGACCTTCCAAACCGATGGAATCGGGAGCAAGTTTCTTCTGAGAGACCACGAAGAACAGCAACAAAGATGATTACACACTTCTCAGTCCCAAGACAATTGGGGACTCCTGTCCTGGGTACAACTCTCCCTCAACCTAAATCCAGAGATGGGACCAGGACTTCCCCGGGGCCAGAGCAGACTCCAGAGAGCTAGAGGGGATGGAGGCCACAGGAGGGCACAAGGTATGGATGGCAACATGTCCCTGTCCCTCCCAAGAAAGGGAACACACACACACAATTCACAGCAACAACGAAATCCACGAATGAGTAGCCACAAGACCACAGTCAGCAGACACACACACACACACACACACACACACACAAAGACACAACACAGGAAGGGGCCAGATCCCCAGCTGCAGTGAGAAGGGAAGAGCTATGAGTGTTGCATCCTTAAGTATAGGACTGGGTTAGCAGGGACAGGGAGAGGCACAGGGAACACGTGTTCTTGGCTTCTCCTAGGGGAAGATCTGGTCTGAAGTAGCCGGTTTTCTCAAGCCTTGACACCAGCCTCTAAAGGATCAGGCAGCTGGCCTTGGCTTCTGGAGGCTGCAGAGGCAAAGAATCTACATTAAAACCCCAGATCCTTTCTGGTACTCATACCTGGCCCTCTCTCCACCTTCAGCATAGTCCCTTCGCCCATAAATCCCTCAGATGACATGCCCTTGAAGCCCCAAGGTCCTGAAGAACAGACAAGCCTGACAGGCAGGGAAGGCAGATGGAGGCTGGGGTGGGGGGCTTGCACCGGTGGCTCCTGGGCTGGAGTTGTTGACACACCCGTTTATATGGTCACATGTCTTTAAGACATCCATCCAAAAGAAGGATGAAGTGATCCTGGCTCTGCTGCCTGGGGCTGACTTGTGGAGATGCAGGCAGACACTGCAAGGAATTAAAACACTACACAGGTTCATGATAGTATTGCCATCAGAGAAAAGGCTGCTGTCTATGACACGGGACAGTTCTTTTGTCGTTTTGTTTGTTAGCCAGGGTTGACCTTGAACATCTGACCTTTCTGTCTTTATTGCCCATGAGCTCCATTATGCCTGGCTTGAGAAAACCTTTAATTTACAATATTAACTAAAGTTATGCACTTGCCCGTTACGTCTTACTGTGTGGAGGCTGGGGCAGGTTACAAAACTGGCTTTCTTGTCTTCGTATATCCCAGGGTCTGCCATCCAGGCCACAGTTGAATGGGTGTTGTGGGTGACCCTAACCTACAGCCACGAAGGGCCCAGCTTGTCACATACTGTCTGTACTGGGCTAGTTTTGTGTCAACTTGACACAGGCTACAGTCATCTGAGAGGAGGGAACCTCAACTGAGAAATGCCTCCAAAACACTGGGTTGTAGGCAAGCCTGTATGGCATTTCCTTCTTAGTGAGTGATGGGGGAGGGCCCATCCCATTGTGGTTGGGGACACTTGTGGGCCGCTGGTCCTGGGTTCTACAAGAAAGCAGGCAGAGCAGCCGTGGGGAACAAGCCAGTAAGCAGCTCCCTCCATGGCCTCTGCATCAGCTCCTGCCTCCAGGCTCCTGTCCAGATTGGTGTCCTGCCCTTTCTTCAATATGGAAACTTACACCAAATAACCCTTTCCTCCCCAACTTGCTTTTTCCGGTGTTTCACCACAGCAATAACAACCCTGACTAGGACAGTATCTGGATGGCTTCTTCTGACTGCAGGTTTCTTCATTATAAATGGGGCCAGCCTGGCATGTCCTATTTCTCCTGGTCAGCTCCTGAAGGTTCCTGTAGCCTGCTGACTGGAATATTTAGGCTCACTATGTACTCTCTGGCACACCCTACAGTGAGCCCCAAATGTTGAGGGCAGTGCAGGTATGGGGGTGCATATTATTTTCCCTACTTTTGAATAGTATTGGAACGCTTCATAGTGTGTGTGTGTGTGTGTGCGCGCGTGTGTGCACGCGCGCGCGTGCGAGCATGTGTATGTGTGTTTAAATAATGAGCGTGAGGCTCATTATTGGACACCATTCTCAATGTTACGTTGATATGGAAGTCTCACTAAATGATTCCCACCCAAGTCACATCCCTGTGTTAGCGGGGACAGTACCATATGAACCTGACCCCGAGGCTGTTTGAAGCCATGATTCCCTATGCTTGTTGTGTTTGGGTAAGGGACACCTCAGTCAGTGTTTCTGGGACTGGGCTGTCCACTGTTCCTCCCCCACCTCTGAGAGACACTTAAGAGTGAACTGGTAAGAAGCGCCCCCCATGAAGAAGTTAGCATGATGCCACTGCCCAAACGCAATGAAGACAGTGGCGAGACACCGTGGAACTGGATGCAGGTCATCTACCTTCCTGCTGGCGGCCGCACTTCAGTTCTCTGCCTTCTGGGGCTCCGCAGCTGGAAGAGAAGGCAGACTGATGTAGCGTGATGAGCTCACCCACGCTGAACCCTCACTCATGCCTGATACCAGGAGTTTGTGTCACTGGTTACAAGAACTTGGACCTAGGTTGTTGAATATGGGTAATGATGGTCACCTCTCAGGGCTTAGCACCCAGGTAAAGATGGAGTCTGCTTGGTACAAAGCAGGCACTCTGTAGACAATGGCTGTCACCAGCAGCTTGTCTCTTGTTGTGGAATATTCTTTCAATCAGGCAAAGGTGTGTTACATTTGTTCGTACTGCGTTTGTTAACTATGCAAAGATGCGTTGCATTCGCAGTAATTAAATAAAATTAACCTGGGCTCAGAGAGGCGGGGTTAGCAACTGGCTGATGGGACATAGCCGGGAGGAGCTTGGCGTGTTTTTTGTTTGTTTCAGTTGGGGCAGTATGGAAGGGAGTGACTTCTGGGATGTCAGCAAAGAGAGAAAGGTAGCCAGTTGCTACTCTAACTCTTTGAGCTCACATGCTTTCACTCCAGCCTTTTTATTAGCCAGTTTTATTAGGACTATAGAGATTTAGTTAGAAGTACCTTTAGCAGTAGCAAAAGAGTCATGGTCTGAGGGAACAGAACTCACCCCAGGCTATTATAGACTTAGGGGGCCCATAGCCCTTTAAAGTGCAGCCACTGTGAGGAAAGAAAACCAGTCTCTGGTATGGATGAAGTGCTAACATCACAGAGGTCCTGGAGAGCCCTCTCCTGGCACCTCAGAGGCATGCCCGCTGAACCCAAAGCAGCTCATGGCACCCAGTGCAGTCCTTCCCCGAACCGTGGGAAGCCCCTCTCTGAGCCCTCTTCATGGCAGTTACCGTTTGTAGTGATGAGGTTCTCCACCTGGGCCTCTTCATCTCCTGGAGCCCTAAGACAAGAGGAGACCACTGTCACCGGTGCCCAGGGCAAACCATAGTGTCTCCCCATTCTCTTCCCTGAAGGAGGGTCTCTGGGACCCTTCCCCTCAGAGCCCCCTGCAGGATTCAAACACTGAGGTGAATGGAGACACCAGGACTGACAGGGACAGAGGCAAAGAGAACTTAGGAGTACCCTGCAGTGTCTGTCCCCAGGTGGGATTTGTGGCTGCCACAGACTCTGAGGTCCGTGGCCACCATGGCTGTTTCAATGAAGGGGTGTGACTTTGTGTGGTATAGAAGGGAGACCAGGTGTCTATGCGGTGCACAGCGCCTCAGGAAGAGATGAAAAGCAGAGACAGTGCGTCAGCCCTGCGTCTCGGAGCAGCCATGAAGTCCTCGGCTTCCCGCTAGCAAGCCTAGCTGTCTCAAAGGCCTCCAGACAAGGTTCTAGCACATTCTTACTCAGTGTTGCTCCCCGATTTACACCTGAGGCCCAGTCTCCATGTCGTGACCTCTCCTTTGTCCCAAAGTCACTTGGAAACCCCCAGATTCGTACCTCGGCCTCCCACATCCTCTGAGACAACCCACCGGGTTCCCATTACACCCTCCACCTGTCCCCTCTGCTGCTGCCCCTGCTGGCCACAGCCTTGGCAGCCTCACCTGGGCTTCTGATTGAAACTGCACTTGCACCTGCGACCTGAAATGCAAAGAAACCAGTCAAGATCATGCTCCCAATATCAGCTCAAGTGCAGGCTCCCAGCTGGGACACAATCTACTGTGAATCTATACAGACCAAACCAGACACAGACAGTGAACGCCTGCACTACTACAGGAAGCAACTCTGGGTAGGGGGCAGGAGTCAACTGAGGCCAGGTTCTATGGTTTAAATGGCAGATGCACGCCACAGGAAGTTGTGTCTAAACACCTGATCCTCAGTGGAGGTGCCAGTCTGTGGGAGGAGGGGCTTAGCGACCAAAGTGGGTTGCTGGGATCAGGTGTGGAAGTGATAGCTGCTGCTGGTTATACCCTGAACTTTCTGCTTCCTGGTCAACCTTAAAAAGAACAGCCACAGACGTCTGCTACCTTGGACCAAGCTGCTCCACCATGCCTGCCCAGGATAATGGACTTTGCCCTTTCATTCCATGAGCAAAAATAACCAGGGTGGTGCACTCAATGCCGCAGCTGGGGGGGGGGGGGAGGGACGGGACGCATAGGTACACTTTCTTAGGAACACTAGGAGACCAGCATCTGACTCCTGGGATGGCTGAGCTCCTGCCCTAGGGATGCAGAGAACTGCCTGCTCACCTTGTTTGACTGAGCACTTACTACATGCCCTGCTCTGTACTCGTCCTGGAGAGGCAGACCATGCCTTCTCCTCTCCCATAGACAAACGGCTAAGCTTATACATTGCCCCCATCTGTCTAGCAGCCACAGAGGAAAGGGGACTCACTTACTTAGGATGAGGAGTATCCCGACAGAGAAGAGGACCACAGCGAACACCAATCCCCAAATCCTCAGGGTCTGGTAGTCTGCAAAGGAACCAGGGATGCCAGGTGAAAGAGGGACAGAGCCAGGAGAGCAAGTCTGTCCCTCTCGGATGGGGCCACGCCCTGGGGCTGCTGAGCTCACTCACCATAATAGAATGGATCCATTTCTTTCTCCTTCTCAGCTGCTGGGAAAGCAGACAGACACGGTCAAGAGGAAGGCAGCGCTGCCTCCTGTGACGTCTCACCTGCCCCACAGCAACCTGTCCCCACTAAAGGATCATGGGAAGATATGGGAGATCGATCGTGGAACATGGGTTTCCTGGGCTTAGGGTCCACGCCCAGGGCCTATGGTAGGTATGACTCGGCCTCAGTGGGGTCCTGAGGTTACAGCATGCCCTTCGTTTATTCCAAAAGGTCAGGTCTATCATTATCTAGTGACAAATGGGGAAACTGAGAGCAAGGGGTACTCATGACTTGCATATATGGTCAAGGTGGGTTAATTACAGTCTAGGCTGCAGGTCCACAGGAGCCCAAGGTACCTGGAGAGGTTGACAGAAGGCCAGCTGGACCCATGTGGGGAGCAGTGGGGAACACCTCTATTGGGATCTGTTTTTCTCTGCTGACTGAAGGTGAGGTCCCTGACCAGATGTGAAGCTACCCCTCAACCCTAACATTCAAAACAGCCAGAACCTTCTACAGAAAGGGCTATGGCTGCCAGCTTGGCACAGCCAGGCTCTAAAGGACTCTTACCACTAGCCAGGACTGCAGGGGCCAGCAGGCTGCAGAGAATCAGCACCGTCTCCATGGTGTCTGGGATAAAGGAAGAAGACATTATTCTGGGGACAGAAGACCTTCCTCCTTAAGCCATCACCCTAACTGGGGCTCATCCCAGCCATAGATGTGCTGGGAGCATATGTGGCCTGAGGCTACTTCAGATCCCCAGGACCAATGTACCTATCACCTGCCTTATCATAAGAGAGCGCTGCCTGGCCAATTCTATTATTCCAGATGAGTCAGAACACTTAGCAGGCATTACGATAGGCCCACACCGCAGGTCTGGAACTGGAAACTCAATGATAGTAGATGACCTTCATAGAGGGAACTGTAGGGCTGAGGTCATACAATGGCTCAGTAACTCATTTAGCATGGGGCTTCTGGGTCAAAGCCTTAACACCCCAAGGGCTTGGGAGATGATCATCCCAGTGTCTTCCAGGCCATCTCTGCCTCATTAAGATGTGGGGCCTCTGGTCCAGTTCCCACAGTCAACAGCCTACCAGGAAGTCTTTTCTTTTAGAGAAGATTTATTTGTAGTGTGTGTGTGTGTGTGTGTGTGTGTGTGTGTGTGTGTGTGTGTATGCTATTTGTGTGCAGGTGTCCCTGAAGCCTAGAAAACCCAGAACATCATATCCCCTGGAGCTGGAGTTACAGGCAGTTATGAACTGCCTAATGTGAATGCTGGTCCTCTGGAAGTCAGTGTTCTTAAGCTCCGAGCAATCTCTCCAGCACCTAGGAAGTGTTTATACCAGCCTTGTAGTCCAGTCAATGGGTGGAGGCCACTCTCTGTTCCCCAAACTCTATAGAAAACCCTGACACTCATATATGACCTCCTTGACTGCCCCTCATGCTGTTTCTTCTGTATCATCAGCTTCCCCTAGAGGACCAGGTCATCATCCACAAAAGGTAATTTGAATGCATAAAGGGAATGTGGACAAAGGTTTCTGAGTATCAGCCCCCCAGTCCCTCCTTCCCTGGAAGACACTGAGTGCTATACCACTGAATCCTGGGGATGGGGTTGGAGTAGAACCTGGATGGGACACATGGCAGAGCCAACAGCAGGTCAGCTGGCTTCACCCGAGACATGTGGAGTTACACTCATTACTCTCAGGGTCAGAGAGTAGTACAGAGTGAGAAGAGAGAAGAACTCAAGTCAGGAGTGTCCTTTTCCAAGTAGGGTAACCAGGGCTCTGATGCCATTTACCAGACAGACACCAGAGGGCAGCATAGCCGTACCCAGAACCATGCGCAACCAGATAAAAGCGACAGAGAATCTCCCACTGTATGAACAATACACCTTGCTCTTCTTAAAACTATGCTTGACACATATATCCAACCATGATGCTTAGTGTGTTTTTGTACATATGTAAATGTTCGGTGTCTGAGCAGGGGCATGTACAACCATGAGGAGCCAAGAGATCAACATCGGATGTCTTCCTCAACTACACTGCATTTCATCTTTTAAGAGAGGGCCTCTCAATGACCCTGGAGTGGACAGATTGATTTAGCTTGGCTGGCTGGCCAGAGAATCCCAGAAATCCTCCTAACTCCCCACATTCTCAGTGCTGAGACTGCAGTTAGCTTCTACTCCATCTGGCTTTTTTTTTTTTTAAATGCTTAAGTTCAAGGGATCAAACTCAGGTCCTCATGCTTGAGAGACAAACACTTTAGTGATTGAGTCATCTCCCAAACCCCTAGTATAGCTTTAAAAAACAAAGCCTTATAATTATGATATAATATTTACAGTCTCCTGAGACTTGCTTTGATCAACACTATTTTGAAGTTTTATTTATACTGTTATACAGAATCACAGTTTAATTCATGTTTAATGGATATTTCATTGTGAAGGCAAATTACTGTGCAGTGATCCATTGTCTTGTTGGTAGATGTCTGGTGTCTTTAAAAATATATTGCTAATGCTAAATGATATGGTTATGGCCACTTATGTGCATGCTGCCCAGGGCACACATACAATCAATAGGTTTTTTAACAATTTTGAGTACCCACCCTCAAAGGGAACAGGATTTATATTACAGATCCATGGAAACACACATTTGTGGATGCTAGAAAACACGGCTACCACTTACTGTGAATCATGTACTCCACTATTTAATTTCCTTTTGCAAGAAATATGAGGCCCCTCGACAAGACTCATGCTGCAGCCCTTAAATGATGGTCTGGAGTGAACATAGCTCTGAACTCACAGCTTGGGTTGCAAACCGTCACTGCTACACAGTTTTATTGTCCTCTATGGAGGTCGTTCCCATTTTAGCATCCCATCAGTGTGGTGTGATTTATCTCTGTTGCTCTCCCATCCTAATTAGTATTTGACATTATCAGATGTCATAATTTATCAATCTAGAGACATAAAATATGGTGTTAATCTGGTCACTTAGCACTGGGTTTTGTTGTTTGGATTTCTTCATCAGTGAAGTCCCTGTCTTCTCCCCCACCCTATTTTCACATTTTCAAATAAATTTCTCAATCTTGACACTAAACCTGCTATTAAATATTCCAATAACTCCTCTCAATTCCTGACTTGTTTTTTTACATCTATTTGTGTGTGTGTGTGTGTGTGTGTGTGTGTGTGTGTGTGTAGGTCAGATGACAACTTGCAGGAAGGTAGTTCTCTCCTACCACGTGGGTTATGTGATCAAACTCAGGTAGGCAGGTATGGTGGCAGGCACCCCCATCTCTTGAGCTATCTCGCTGACCCTGTTTTTATGAGAGCTGTCATGGATCTACCTGGAGGGACCGGTAGAGCTGACATGTTCCTGATTCCAATTGCCTCAAGATTTAGAAATCTTTTCGTTTCCCAGGACTTTGCCAATATGCTCTAGTGAAATATTATGACACCTTCGAATAAGTGTCAGATCCATTCAGGATATATTATAAATTATATTGCTATGTTAAATATTAACATATTGAGTTGTATGGATTGTTTATCTATTTGTCTTAAATACTGTAATCTTTAAAAAAAGATTTATTTATTATGTATACAGTGTTCTGTCTGCATGTATCCCTGCTTGCCAGAAAAGGGCACCAAATCTCATTTATAGATGGTTGTGAGGCACCATGTGGTTGCTGGGAATTGAACTCAGGACCTCTGGAAGAGCAGCCAGTGCTCTTAATCTCTGAGCCATCTCTCCAGCCCAAATACTGTAATCTTAAGCTCCTTTATTTCTAATAATTTACCCAGATACCTTTTGGTTTCATTGTAGACAGACTTTGTAAATGATAGAGTGGTGTTTCCTCCTTCTAGTTAGTACACAGGTTATGTCTATTTCTTGTCTTGGTGAACTAAGACTTAAAATGAAATGCAGTAGGGAAACAATGATCACATATACACATGCACACACATTTATACACTTGTACACATATTTGGTCTTGTTACTTATTACTGATTTTAAATGGAGTTCTAATGTTTTGAAAATTCTCCTCTAACACTGGGTTCCCAAGATGTTTGCTTTATATTAATTATGAGTAAGTGTAATACATATATATGGGTTTACCTTAATCTGTCAAACAAATAATTTTTTGTTTTTGTTTTATGTTTTGTTTTTGTTTCTCTGTGTAGCCATAGCTGTCCTGGAATTAGCTCTGTAGACCAGGCTGGCCTCAAACTCAGAGATCTGCCTGCTTCTACCTCCTGAGTGCTATGATTAAAGGCATGTGCCACCACCACCTAAATCAAACAAATAACTTTGTATATGGATTACTAATGTTAAATTTGGGATAAAACCAATGTAATGTTTAAATACATGGGCAGACTTGGCTTAGGGTCATTCTCCTTAGGAGTTTTTCACTTACATGCATGCGTGTGGGATTGGATAGTAATTTTATTTTACTGTATTGACCTTGCATGGTTTTGGTAATGTGCTGTGATTTCTACAAGTTTATGGTTTAAAAATTTAATCCTCATTCATGTCAGTGCTATTTGGAAGTTAGGTCTTTGGGAGGAGCTGCGGTTTGAACTAGAAATGCCCAACCCCCAAAGGCTCATGTGTTTGAACACTTGGTCCCTAACCTGTGACATTCTTTTGTACAGTTGTGGGACTTTTAGGAGGTGGAGTCTCTCTAGAGCAGTGGTTCTCAAGTCTCCTAACACTGTGACCCTTTACTACAGTTCCTCATGTTGTGTAACATTATGCTACTTCATAACTGTATTTTTGTTACTGTTATCAACCATACTGCAGATATCTAATACACAGGATAACTGATTTGTGACTCTAAGGGGTCACGACCCACATGTTGAGAACCAATGCTCTGGAGGAAGTGGGTCACTGGAGGCGGGACTTGATATTTACAGCCCCACCCCACTTCCTGTCTTCCCTCCCCCGCCTGAGTTTCAGTGCGGTGTAGTCCGCCTCAGGTTCCTGCAGCCATCCCCTCCCTTCCGTGACTGACTACCCCACCAAAATGGGAACCAAAGTAGCTCTTCCTTCCTTACACTGCTTCTTGTCCGTTATTAAAAGTTATACGCCATGTGTGCTTGGACTATTGTGAGTCTCTTTGGTGAGAAGTTACATATTGCTCAGGAAGTATAATCACTTACATTTTTATGTTAATGAATTTGACAATTTGACACCCCCCCCAAAAATGGAACCAGAAAACTTAAGATATGCCATAATCAGGAAGGACTTAAGAAATTTAGCCCTGTGTTTCCACATAATCTACTAGGAGGTTTTAAATGGTTCTATCATTCATTAGCTGGTTCTTTGAAGACTATATAGTGTTTTTCTTTTTTTTTTTAGTATTTATTTATTATGTATAGTGTTCCTTCTGCAAGTATTCCTGCAGGCCAGCAGAGGGCACCAGATCTCATTATATAGATGGTTGTGAACCAACATGTGGTTGCTGGGAATTGAACTCAAAACCTAGCAGCCAGTGCCCTTAACCTTGGACCCATCTCACCAGCCCCCATATAGTGGATTTCTTGATGTATATCTCATTATTGTATAATAGTTACTTGTTTTTAAAAATCCTATGAAATAGACATCAGGATTTATACTATTTGATCAGATTAACTGACAAGG